TCCAAATATATCTGGGTTTGCAGATTAAATAGGTTAAAACCCTTGAACCTGCGATGATGCAGAATGTCCCCATTTAATTTTACCTATTTTTTCTATCTCTACACCATCCACCATCTATCCAAATACCTATCAGAGACTGGAATAGAGACATGTTTCGGTCTGCTTTACTAGCCAAAGATAATTCTAAAGAAGTTAACCTATCTATGCTAAGGGAGACACACCAGTCAAAATAATCAACCGACTTGGCACCAACCCGTACCTAACACAGTCTATAGCCAAAAGGCCCTCCATTTTACTCCATTGGATTGCAAACTTTCCAATGGGATCAATGACAAATCTAAATCAAACCGCCACTTCTTTCTGTGTTAAACATTATCATTACATAAAGCGCTGAAATATTCAGTCAGTATATTGTGGGACCTAATTTTAATTTTAATAAAACATGACTAAATTATAAGACAAAGACAATTAAATTTTGAAATTTGGAGATCTTTATATGTTATTGTAGTAATGAGGACACTGAAAATAGTCAAACCTGTATACCTTTTTTATACGCCCACACGTAAGATGGGCGTATATTGTAATCACCCTGTCCGTCCGTCCGTCCGTTCACATTTGGCTCGTGCTCACTCTACAGGCTACAGTTCTTTATGGATTCTTTTGATTTTTATTTTGTGTGTCAATGTCATTATGAAGATGATCCCTATTGATTTTCGTGATGATCGGATAATTTTTCACCGAAATATTGTGTCTGACTTGACGTTTTTCTCTATTAGCTATATTGTGCAACTCGTGCTCACTCTACAGGCTACAATTTTCACATATTGTTAATTATTAATAATGATCATAATATTATTGTTAATTATTAATAATGATATTGTTAATTATTAATAATGATATTGTTAATTATTAATAATGGTTTTGTTAATTATTAATAATAATAATAATATTGTTAATTATTAATAATGATAATATTACTAATTAATAATAATAATGATAATAATAAAGTCTTTAATAATCAAGGTGAAAAATTAGGCCAATAGAATTTTGCCCTGTGAAATAAGATAACATGAAAATAAATACATATCAAATAACTCAATGGTAAGTAGGATGTTAAAATGTATTTTTTTTATTTTCTAGGGTTGTATACAGTGCATTGGTAATCTCCTTGGAGTATTTTGATGTGATACCAATCTACTGGTTTATTAACGGCATGTTGATTATTCTCCAGATCTTGCATATATTTTGGTCGGTTATCATCTTTAAAGTTGTCATTAGTACCCTTAAAAGTGGTCAGGTGAGTTGAACTTGTTTTATTAAAGGGAGGGTGTCTACCACTTTACATGGCATCAAGCATACTGGGTTCTAATCTCGATTGGCGTGTAAAAGTCTGATGACTTTGAATAAGTTACATTCACTCATGATTCCAGTCAATGGGTATGGATAATACGGGAAAGATGAATACCAAGAGATTTTGACAAGGAATCGCTTGTATGAAGTATCCTCAATTGTCAATCTAAGTTTACAAATTTTGTATGTGGGTTTTTAACCACAAGACAAGTTAACCAGATAAAGGCAACAGTTTTTGTCAGAATTTCATTAAATTTGGTGTAGGTTAATATACACAAGATCTTGGACAAGTTTGAATTTGGGTTTGATAAAGGAATTGCTACCCTTGATACACTGAAATTCATTTAAAAGTGGTTTGTAAATGTAATAAGTAAGATTGTAGGTACTAAAGTTACATAGCAACACAAATTCTTGAACTGAAAATTTTATTTGGTAAGTGGGCATATCTTGATTGCCAACCACTTGTTTAATTACCGCATATTAGTAGGATGTAAAAGTTCAATTCATTGATTGCGATGTATATTGATGCTATTTTTGACTTCTTTTTTTTTTTTTTTATCGTAGCTGGAAAGAGATGCTAGAAGCAACAGTGATATAGAGTTGTCAGATTCAAATGATCCAGTAGCTAAATTAGAGGGTAACATGTCACACAATGGTGTCAATCATGAGAAGCGAATGACTCAAGCTAATTCGAACTCTAACAATCATTGAAATTTTTTTTTAAACTTAGTGTTTTTTTTTGTTTCATTTTGTTTTTTACTCTATTTTATATGTTTTTAAGTATTCTCTGGGAAACTTTTGTAGATCAAAGTTGGTTCTACAATTAGAGTTAACTCACTCTGCTAGTTTCTAGGGTAAAAATATTTAATCTTAATTAATGTCACTTGGCTTCATCCAAGGATAAAGCAGGTGGCATAAAAAAATACTCTTGACTGGCATTATATTTCATGACATAGAATACAAGATGCATAACAATTATGTCAGATCATGAATGTAAAAGTAAAGTCACATGCAAAGTAAAATGGGAAATGCAATATCTATATTTGCATCTAAATTATATTCATGTTGAGAGCTGGTGTAGCATGTTAATTATTAGACCGAAACATTCTGTCTCTCAATGCTGTCAGCAAAGGGTCAGGAGACCATCTATGAATATATCTTCAAATACTAATTTTGTTGCGTTGAAATATTCTTCTGTCTTAAGGTTTTTTTTCCAAAAACTGATAATTTTCAGCTCCATACCATATTATTTTAGACAGAAAAAAACACTAATTGTTGTCTCTAATCTAAGTTAAAATATTCAAGTGTGGAGCTATTTAGAAGATGGTCCCTATCTTACATTAGACTTATAGTCATTAAGAGTCTACTTGTCAGTCTAGTTAATTACATACTAGTGATATTTATTGAATTTATTAATATTTATATAAATATTTCATCAAGCAATTTAACAAAGGCTGCATAACTTCCGTTTTGTTAGTGATTTCTTTTTCAGTGCAATTCATGCTTGAGACTACATTAAAAAAATGTCAACCCTGTTTCCCACTGTCTTTGATTCATGTTAAGTGGCTGACATGGAAAAAAAGTGCCTAGTCATTCAAATAGGACAGTGCAGGTCCTATGTACTACTTAAGATTCCTCAACAGTTTGAAAGCGCAAAAAAGGTTTGCCAATGACCCCATTTCCCTAATTGTACACTGCATTCTCTATCTATCTACGTTTCTGTCAACTCAACTGTATAAATCAAGATATTTTTTGTAACCTATGCATGAATTGCATTAAAACCACTTTTTGTTGATTATTTTTTTTACCAGTCATATTTACATAATGACTACCTTCAATGTGTTTTTGTTAAAACGTGAATTATGCTTGTAACACCCCTAAAAAACATTGTAAACTTGTTCTGATACGCTTCGAAGAAATTCATTATTACTTAAAAGAAGAATCCATTTGCTAACAAAGGGGTGTTTACAGTTGCCTAATTAAAAGTCAAATTTGGTAATGAGCTCCAGTCTAAAATTTTGGGTAACTTGTAGCTATTGTTCAACCGTCTCTACTTCAAGCATTCTTAGCTAGTCTCTGAAAGAGCTAATCAGTGATTGAAAGCTTAAAGCTAGTCAGATATTAAAAATTTATTAAATTGTTGCCTATTTTGAAGATATTAATGTGAGATAATTTTGTATTTGAGAATGGTTTGTTAGTGTGAGATGTAGGTCAATGATCATAGTGTATATTCAGGGACAATAAAAAAGATAATAATGACACTTGAAAAAAATGATGACCTATACTTTAATTCTGATATAGTCTCTAAATTTTAAGGTGAATAAAACAAATTTTAAAGTTAATTTAAAGGGGCGGACTGCAAAATTCTCACCATCAAACACATCGTAAATTTTACCTGAAAATAGTTATTTAAAAAGGGTCTTTATATCTATGTATCTACTTTATAAGACTGGATGTGTTTAACATGGATTCAATAAAAAACAATAGTTAATTAAGCAGTTTGACCTAATTCAGGTGTTGGCTCAATAGTATTAGTTGAAACCTTGAGATTGTGTAGGAGACATATTTAGATCCATACAGTAGTCAGTAACAGCTTCCAAAAATCATAATGAACTATAAGTTTATGAAATCTTTTTGAATAGTTATATAATCTTTTTGAACAATTTTGGTTTAAAAATAAATGGTTGGACTCTTTTGAGGTAGGCATGTATATCAGATACATTACCGGACACATTTCTTTAGATTTTTGTGCAGTTTTCATAAATATGAGCAAAAACATTTCGATCTACAAAAAAAACCCCAAAAATGGAATGCCCCTTTAATTGATTGACTATTAAAATGGAAATAAATTTTAGGGAAAATAATCTGTTTGATGATTTAGGCTCCTGAGAATAAAATGAACAGTTTATGTTTATATACAAATTGTCCCTGGGTGTACACCAGTATTGCTGACCAATAATTTCTTGTATTATTATTCATTTTACCATTTTCATTTTAGTTTATTTTAAGTCATTTTATATAACTCCATTTTATATCAACCTCTTGTACATTATAATTTATGCATATTAATTGAAGTGTAAACTGTTTATACACCTTTTTATATATTTACTCTTCATAATAATTCTATGTTTATATAACATTTATTGTTGGGCGTCTGTGACACCTGTATGTGTGAGTGTGATTTCTGGTCGTCACATTTGTGACATTGTGTGATTTTGTGACTTTGTGTGATATGGGATCACATTCTGTGACACATAACAGTAAGATGTTACATCCTGTGATTTTGTGACAAATTATACGACACATTTTGTGCATTTATAATACATTTTGTCATTTTCTGTGATTTATATCACATTGTGTCTCATTGTGTGATTTTGTATCATATTATATTACACATTGTGTGATTTTGTATCAAATTACATGACACATTTGGTAATCAATACCCAGCCCTAATCTCTTATAGTAATTAGGCTTGATTCAGGGAGCTCGCTTGATTCAGCCACTTTATCAGTCCAGTAAATATAGTTGTGCACACCCTGGTAAAAACAAAACCATAAACCATAAACACTTTCATTTCTATGTGGTAGTGTAATTGACCAGAGTTCATCATCCAAAGACACATCCTAACGGTTGGGATACAAAGTCTTCATCAGGACAACAAGTTTTGTGAATAAATATTACAATTCTAGTATAGATTGTAATGAACTTATTGAAGTAGTGTATGAAATATGTCTTTTTTCATTCATTTATTTGGATAAAAAGTGAGCCATGTTCCCATCTATTTGTTGATAATAATAATAGTTTAAACCTTGCTGAATATAAATAAGAAATCTATTTTATTTAGAGGTAGGAATGACACCTTGTTGAATAGTAACATGTTACCTTTCAACCACCTAAACTTCTGAAACTTCAACATGTCATTTCTACTTAAACTACCTATTTTCAATATGCAAATAAGTTTCATTTGCATTCTATTGGTTATGGAATTCCCTATAATTTAAGATTGTGCCATTGCATAGTTGTTTGTAATTTTTTAGATGTCAAATAGGGGTGGTCTTTTAAATAGATATAGTAATCTAAATATGGTAGGACAAATATTTAGATGAATATATCCCTTTAGAATTATGTTAGTGACTGAAAGTGATTGTATAGAGGTTTTCTAGCCTTTTCATATATGTCAGGACCATTTATGGCATTGATTTGAATGCTGCTAATGATCTTAGGGTCTTGTTTTAGTGGATTTGCATGATGCAAAGATGTCTGACTGAAAACTGATACTCATTAAAAGTTTAAGAAACCTCTTCACAATCCCTTTAAGATATTTATCAGGCTAGATTTAGATAACTATATCCTAGAGATTGGAATTAAGTTTTTTAGCTTTTGTATGTGTATCAGTAATACTTACAGCGTCTATTTTTACCATTGCGATTTCCACATTATTCTAGAAATACAAGACCAAATTATGATGGCATTATAACACAAAACCGTTTGGCCTAAACACTATTTCCAATAGTGGCATCATAATCTGGTAAGATTGTCTTTACCTTACCAAAGACATCAGGTAAAGAACCAGAATGGTACAAATAAAAGCTTTAAGGGTCCTAAATACCCACACAAAATGGATAAAAAAAAATTCCCTTTGAATCACTGTGCTTGCCATAAATTTTTTATGTATTTTAGCTTTTCAAATACTGCAATATTTATATACTTTTTTTTCATTTTATCATGTTTAATCTTTCTCAACATTTGTCTTGTATTTTTTGATTGTATTCTGAATCAGTTTGTTATATTTTTTTTCTTTCTAGTCATATTTTTAATGTGACTTAATGAATAGTTGAACCATTAAAAAGATTGTTAAGAGGCTTTCTGAACTTTTGTGTGTATCGGGAACACTGATATCATCGATTTGCATCATTCCAATTTTCAGTCAGATGTTTGTGGATCTGGCAATTAAAGTAAAAGTAAGTGTTTTATGATGTCATTAATCGCAAAAGCTGCTATTGACATGCATATTAAGGACCTTTGTGATAGTGACTTTATAAACGCATAGTTTTAGTAGAATTGCAAGAACCACAGAAGTCTAATTGGAATTAATCAGTAATCAATGCCTTTTTTGTGCTACAGGCTGTGTTAGAAATCAGCAAGAGTTGGATATCAGGAAATTTCAATGTCCCAACAATTTTTTTCCTTCTTTTGATCAGCAATATAATTCAGGTAATGGCGAGAGGCTTAGTTTGATTTTAATATTTTTTCTATAAAAGGTTTCTAATGAGGCAGACCGTAGCATAAGAACTTTACACATGCTCAGCTGTGGCTAAGTTCAAATTTCTTTAAATATTGTGTCACAATCAATTCTCTTGTAGCTACTTGCCCATTATAGTCAAGCAAAGAGATTTGTGCACATTCAGGTTTGATAAAAAGAATCCAAGGTCTAACCCTTCAAGATAATGGTAGATGGTAGATCTATTTCATTGTCTTGTGACCATTAAGAGCTGTAAAATAATAGCAATTGGCTAGACACTTACTGAGGTTAATGTTTTGAATAGTATGTGAATTTGCACAAATTTCTTTAATTGTCTATCCCATCTTCACAATGTCAATGTGTTACTATGTCTTATACCTTGACAGCATTAGGCACTGTTCTTGTATCACAGAAGTTTATTAATGTAGACATTTGATCTGATTGTATGCAAGCAAATGTAGCCAATCATAAGTGTACATTCCAATCATATCGCTTCATTTATAAACTGCCTTATTATGTCAAGGTATAAGTCATATTTCGTCATAGCTTGACGTATAACAATCGATGTATAATTTATGTGTATTCTGTAATGTCTTTTTGATGTGTATATTTCACTCTGAGTATATTTCTGTCGATTTTAGCCTAGCTAATGAATAAGATAGCAAGGTTCATGTACCTTGCCGTCTTTTTTCATAATATCTTTTATATAATTAATAAACGCAATCAAGTTCTCTCTATAAAAAAATGTTTTTAATTTTTTTTCTGGGTTTGTCCAAACACCAAAATGAACTAAAATCTATTCAGTGCAAGAAAGAAATATTTTACTTTGAATGATTAGAATAACACACGGTTATCGCCCTTACTTTATTATCTTCGGTTTGAGTGACATTCTTTTTCTAATTCTGAAAGATTTTACGTCGAAAAATAGTTTTGTGTTCCTTGGCAAGTGAATGGGTGGGTGA